GCCCCCCCCCCCCCGTTTTTTGAGTCTATACGTTTGTGATGGGAAGAAACAACACTCCCCCTACAGTGAGGCAATCTCCTGCTTTTCACGCTTCACAAATAGATGTAATAGATGTGAAGCCTCTTCAAAGAGGCCAGAAGTTTGTTTTATCAAATAACCTCTGATTCTGGCAGTGTCACATTCACCTCAACTCATACTTTTGTACACAAAGAAATTTCCCACTAACTCTCTGTGTTGAAGAAATTTCCACAAGATTCCAAATTGAAAATCTAAATAATGAAGAGCTGATGATTTGTTCGATATAGGTAGTATGTAACTTAACACTGTTTCTCTTTTCTCTCCACCCTATTAAGCCTAACTTATTGTTTCTCTTTTCTCCAATTTCTTTTCTGAAATATTACACATACAAGTGGGTACCCTGAAAAGAAAAAAAGCTACATCTGTTGCTTTAATAATTGTACTTTTTTCTTAGCCAAAAAAGGTTATGATGAAAGATTATTTGTGTTTTTAAAATAGTAGTATTTAGTGTTTTTGATCAGTGGGGACAATGTGAGCTAAAGCACAAGGTAATATAAAATCATTGAAAAAATGTGATCATAATGGACTGACCCTTATAGAAAGAACTTTAACATGAGGTACAATGTGTTTGTCACGCCCTATGCCTAAAAGTCGTTCAAATTCATGTCTCTGAGCACACGAACTTTTCCCCCACACAGTTAAACCTATTCAGTTCATATTTAGTGCTTCCTTCCATTTTACTTCACAGAAAGAACCTGTGATCTATCTCAGGCAAATTCCCCTTGATTCTAAACATCTTTCTCATCTTCCCATTCTCCATTACCTTGCTGGAATGAAATGTGGTTGCCTTCAGGACCTACTATAGCTCCAGCTGTCATTCATTTCTTCCATTTCCCAGAATCCAGCATAGCCTCCTAATAATGAGCAGGTGCTCAATGCATGATTACTGATGGTTTAAGATGTTAGGGTGGTTGGTAGGCCTTGTGTTGGTTCTGAATCAGAAGTCAGCAAACTAAGTA